GAACATGCAAGATTATAACATGAACTTAAAACAAGAAAGCAACTATGAGGTAAAACATGCAAGATTATAACAAAACTAATATAAAATTAAAGCAAGTGAATAAATACAAATAAATAAATAAATAATTATGAGCTAAATAAACCACTTAGATTATAACAAAACACTATAAAATAAGAAGCAAGAGAATAAATATGAGATAGAAAATACAAGAAAATGAAAGACTAGAAATTCACCTTCCAAAGAAAGATTGAACTTCTTGATTTCCAATCTTCCTCTTGATCACCCTCAAGTTGTGGAGTATGTTGTTGAAATCTCAGCAAGAAAGTTCAAGTTTTAGCTTTGGTGAAGTTTTGGGTGGTAACAAAACAAACTCTTTATTTGATCAAAGTTTAGACCTCTCTCTAAAAATATTTTCACTCAATTGGAACAAAATAAACTCTTTCTTTGATCAAAGTTTAGACATTTCTCTCATCAAAAAATTTCACCACCTCTCATAGTTCTAATGGTCTTCTATATATAGGCCAAAAACCAAGACCGTTTCATATTCTGAAGGGCCAATTTTGAAAGGCCAATTTTCAAGAGCCAAAACCTATTCATGTTTTGAAAGCCAATTATGAATAGTCAAAACCCATCCATTTGTTTGAAAGGCCAATTGTGAATAGTCAAAATCCATTCATTTGTTTGAAAGGCCAATTGTGAATAGTCAAAAGCTATTTAGTTTTTTTGAAAGGCCAATTGTGAATAGTCAAAACCCATTTTATTTGTTTGAAGGGCCAACGGTGAACAGTCAAAATCCGTTTAGTTTTTTGAAAGACCAATTGTGAATAGTCAAAATCCATTTAGTTTTTTGAAAGGCTAATTGTGAATAGTCAAAATCCATTTAGTTTTTTGAAAGGCCTATTGTTTCAAATTGCTAAATTTTCTAGACAAGAGAAAAAAAATGCAAAAAAAGATTTTTGAATAGGTCTCAACTAATTTGGCCAAAACGGGTGTAAAATTGGGATTGAAGCTTGAATCTGATTTTTTTGCTGAGAAATTCATAAAATAGCACATTATAATTTTCATCATTGGGTGTTTAGAAGAAAGTGTCCAAGTCTTAGGGCTGGTCAAAATGGGATGTCTTGTAATAACCCGACCCTCGTACATGATTCTGGTATCTTTTCAGCCCTCTATTCTGTGCTTTTGAATGCTCATTGTGCGACGCTATGTGAAATTACGTTGAATTAAGTAAAACTTGGAAATATGGATTCTTATCTGTTGAACAAGAAAAGTATCTATCGCACTTAAACTGCTTGACTCAGAAATTGGAAGCCTTAACAGCTTAATAATCTGAAATTGATTATATATCTGTGATCAGCATAATTTTTAAGTAATATTAAGCATGTTTGCGAAATTTCAATTTGGAATGCGTAAAAGATGGAATTTCGCCTTATTCACCCTTTTTATAAAGTGTATATATATGTACCAAAGATCTTTAGATATTTTGACTTAGAAATTCATTGAAACAAATCTCCTGGAAGAGACGTTTTGAGAAGGGTTTGAGACGTAGGGGGACTAGATCATCAAGAAGGTGAAGAAAGTGAGAGACTCAAGCCTAAGATAAAATTATTCATTATTTATGATTCTTCTTTTGAATTTGAGAAGGATTCCTCCTTTTATGAGGCTTAGAGTGTGAGAGGAAGTGGGTATTTGATTCTTGCATTAAAATGGAACATGGTTTATCACTTTGGTGTTTTGAAATTAATTTGGGGTTATATGTGTAGGAAGTTATACTTTATTCCTTCTATTAGCATGTTTGAAGTTAATTTGTGGTTATGGCCATGTGTATATGTTTAAAGTGTATGAAATATGAGTTGAGTTATATTTTGGTTATGGAATTCATAGGAAGTTGAACTCACTTCTTGCTTGAAGATCTAGTTTATATTTATCATCATCATGTGTTTGTAATGATTTTTGAACCATGTTTTGGTATATAAAGAATCTATTTTAGACCTCATGCATGATCACCAAACATGGGGTTTTGTATGAGGGTTGAACTGCCAAACAGGGGGCCAGGCCGCACGTGCAGAGGTCGTGGCCGCACGCGCGGAGAAGAGGAAAAAAAACGGGGAAGCATACTGTTTTTAGCCGCTCGAGCGGTGAAGGGGGACCGCACGTAAGGTACATGTCCGCACGAGCGGAGGGTATGGCCGCACGTGCGGCCCAGGTCAGAAATCCCATTTGTTCCGTTTTACGTGCTCAACCCTCAGCTCTTTTTGGAATTTGTGTTCAATACCTGTTTATGATTGTACATGCAATTGGAATGTAAAAATGCAAGAAATGGTTAAAAGAAGAAGGAAACTAATATGTGTTATCTATGTGTGTAGGACACACCACAGGGGGAACCACCGCTTCGCAACAACACTGTGAGTAATAGTACACGAAATGTACATTTATTTACCGTTAATATCTATTATGACTATTCTGTTTTCTGTTAGACATAACATTAACATATGTATTGATCGGAACTTGGTGACAATGTAAGGTTGACTACATTTCTGTATATTTCTGGGCCGAAAGGCTGTTCTGTATATTTCTGGGCCGAAAGGCTGTTCAGTATACTTCTGGGCCGAAAGGCTGTTCTGTATTTTCGGGCCAGTAGGCCGTTCTGTTATAACTGTAATACTAGGTCGAAGGCCGTTCTGAAAGTAAAACAATATCAGACTCACTACTTGGATTTCATTTTTGTGAATGCACTGTTATGCATTGTGGTTAAAGTTGGTCATAAAACTGCTTAAGTACTATTATTCACTGAGCTTGTCTCACCTTGTAATTTTGTCTGATTCTGTAGGTAATCAACTTGGAGGTCAGTCCTAGCATCATTATCATCTCTCTTTTGTCAACCTAAGGACAACCAGGCACTTGGAGAAGCCCTTTGCATGCTAGCGCAGTTTTGCTAGACGTTGTCATTTTGTACTAATGTTTTGTGGGCTGAAATCGATTTGTATCTAATGATTGTTATATACCCAGCCTCTGGGCTGGACTTGTAAATGTGTACATAACTTAATCTCATATGCATGTTCACTAGATGTTTAATTCTGAGTCGTGGTCCTGGCATATTTGTAGTAGCTCAATGGATGTGTCTGCATGTTATTCTATTATATTAACGCTTCCATTCAGGCCCCGGATATTTTTATATAGCAGGATAAGTGTCTGTTTCTGGGTAGGTCATGCCCGAAATTTTAGGGGCAAGTTTGGGGCGTGACAAGTGGTATCAGAGCACGAGTTGCTATCTCACACACGGATCCATTGAGCTTTAGGATGTCTAGAAAGATGTAGGCATCATGTAGTAAAGGAAGATTGATAGCAACGTTAAATGTTTTCTGCTAACGCTAATAATGATGATCAATGTCTATTGTATTCTTTTGTGTATGTTGTAATTGGTTGTTTTGTAGACTATGGTGAGAACAAGGACCGAAGATCAGGAAGAAGCTACCTCAGCACGGTTGGACAGGATGGAAAGAATGATTATGGAAATGGCGGAAACTCTACGACAACAACAACAGCAACAACAGCCATAGCCGCCACCACCACCAGTACCCCCACCTGTAGTGCAAGATATTCACGCTGAGGACCATACCATTACACTTACAAAGGAGTTTAAAAAGATAAAACCACCATCGTTTAAAGGAGGAATTGAACCAATGAAGGCTAAGGCATGGGTGTTAGGGATAGAAAAATTGTTCGAAGTTTTCCCTTGTACTGAAGTTCAAAAGGTGCAACTTGCTGCTTTCACTCTTGAAGATGAAGCACGGAGGTGGTGGATGCTTACAAGAACAATGCATCAAGGGTTGACATGGGACAGGTTCTTGGCGCTGTTTTATGATAAATATTTTTCCCAGAGTATGCGAGACAAAAAGGTGACCGAATTCGAAACATTGAGACAAGGAAACAAAACTGTTGCTTTTATGAAGCTCAATTCGCAGAATTAGCCCGGTTTGCACCTCACATGGTAGATATAAAATATAACAACGCGCGAAAATTCGAAGGAGGGTTGCGAGGTACTATTCTGGACCGAGGTAATGTGTTGAAGGTGCCTACCTACGTTAATGTGTTAGAAAGGGCTGTTATAGCAGAAGGGAATATTGCTGCTCAGAGTCGGATTTCTGAATGGAAAGGAAAGAGGCAGAACAACCAATGGTTCAAGCGGTTAACTACTCCACCAAACAAGAAGCAAAATTCAAGGACCTCCAGCACTACTACTTCTTCTCAAAATTCAGCTCCTGTGTGTCCAGAATGTGAATAGAGGCATCGTGGGATTTGTCACCGATTGTCTGGAGCATGCTTTCGATGTTGCAAAACGGGTCATTTGATAAAAGACTGTCCGCAAAAGAATCAACAAACTAGTAATAAGGCCGCCACAAGCTCAGCAGGGTCTACACCGGCTTCTAATGCTAAGTCAGCTGCTAAACCTGCTAACAATAAGGACACTACGAGGCAAGGCAGGGTATTTGCGTTGGTTCCAGGAGATGTACAGAATGCAACAACAGCGGTGTCAGGTACAGTTATGGTTCATGGTCATTCTGCCTACGTCTTATTTGATTCTGGCTCTACCTATTCCTTTGTGTCAAAATTATTTGCCAAACATTTCGATAAACCTGATGAAGACTTGACTTATGTGCTGTGTGTATCTTCACCTATGGGAAATTCCATGATCTGTACCTCTGTATATTCTGCTTGTGAACTTCTAATTGGGGATGTCTATGCATATGCTAATCTATTACCACTTGATATGACTTCTTTTGATATTATTTCTGGGAATGGATTGGTTGGGTAAATATAGTGCCACTATAGACTGTCTAACGAAGCAAATCAAATTCCACCCTCCGGGGCAATCAGAATTTACTTTTCAAGGACAGGGAGTAACTTCTCCACCGTATGTGATTTCTGCAGCAAGGGCTTGTAAATTAATTCAGAAAGGGTGTCAGGGGTATTTATGTAGTGTTTTGGAAGGGCCAATAATGAATGAGAATACTGATGCGATTCCAGTTGTCTGTGAATTTCCGGACGTCTTTCCGGAAGAATTGCCAAGAGAATTAGTGGACCGTGAAATCGAGTTCACGATTGAAGTGCTACCGGGAATCCAACCCATTTCTAAAACCCCGTATCGAATGGCACTAGCTGAAATGAGGGAATTGAAGATTCAGTTGCAAGACCTACTGGATAAGGGGTTTATCCGCCCGAGTGTTTCTCCGTGGGGTGCACCAGTCCTGTTTGTGAAAAAGAAAGACGGAACACTCCAATTATGTATAGACTACCGGGAGCTTAATAAAGTAACAATCAAGAATAAGTATCCATTACCGCGGATTGATGATTTATTTGATCAATTACAAGGGGCACAGGTCTTTTCCAAGAATGATTTACGATCCGGATACCATCAATTGAAAGTTAAAGCTGATGATGTTGAGAAGACAGCTTTCCGAACCCGATACGGTCATTATGAATTTCTAGTTATGCCCTTTGGAGTTACTAATACACCAGCAGCATTTATGGATCTGATGAACCGTGTCTTCAAACCTTATCTAGATGAGTTTGTAGCGGTCTTTATTGACGATATCCTCATTTACTCAGAGCTCCGGGGCAATCAGAATTTACTAGGACAGGGAGTAACTTCTCCACCGTATGTGATTTCTGCAGCAAGGGCTTGTAAATTAATTCAGAAAGGGTGTCAGGGGTACTTATGTAGTGTTTTGGAAGGGCCGATAATGAATGAGAATACTGATGTGATCCCAGTTGTCTGTGACTTTTCGGATGTCTTTCCGGAAGAATTGCCAGGAGAATTAGTGGACCGTGAAATCGAGTTCACGATTGAAGTGCTACCGGGAATCCAACCCATTTCTAAAATCCCGTATCGAATGGCACCAGCTGAAATGAGGAAATTGAAGACTCAGTTGCAAGACCTACTGGATAAGGGGTTTATCCACCCGAGTGTTTCTCCGTGGGGTGCACCAGTCCTGTTGGTGAAAAAGAACGACGGAACACTCCGATTATGTATAGACTACCAGGGAGCTTAATAAAGTAACAATCAAGAATAAGTATCCATTACCGCAGATCGATGATTTATTTGATCAATTACAAGGGGCACAGGTCTTTTCCAAGATTGATTTACGGTCCGGATACCATCAATTGAAAGTTAAAGCTGATGATGTTGAGAAGACAGCTTTCCGAACCCGATACGGTTCTGGTTATGCCCTTCGGAGTTACTAACGCACCAGCAGCATTTATGGATCTGATGAACCGTGTCTTCAAACCTTATCTAGATGAGTTTGTGGTGGTCTTTATTGACGATATCCTTATTTATTCAAAGAATGCAGAGGCTCATGAAAACCATCTTCGTTTAATTCTTCAAGCCCTCCGAGAAAAGAAGCTGTACGCAAAGCTAAAGAAGTGTGAATTCTGGCTACGTGAAGTGGCATTTCTGGGGCATGTTATAACTAAGGATGGAGTCTCTGTTGATCCAAACAAGATTGAGGCGATTATGAACTGGCCGACTCTGACTAATGTGACTGAAGTGTGTAGTTTTATGGAGTTAGCCGGATATTATAGGAGATTTGTTCAGGATTTTTCCAAAATTGTTGTACCGCTCACACAGTTGACTAAAAAGGGAGTTACATTTGAATGGTCAGAACCGCGGGAATCTATTTTCCAAGAATTAAAAATAAGGTTGACTACAGCTCCGGTCCTTGCACTACTATCTAGTACTGAGGGATTTGTGATTTACAGTGATGCTTCACATAAGGGACTTGGCTGTGTGCTTATGCAAAACGGAAGGGTTATCGCTTATGCCTCTCGACAGCTTAAACCTCATGAGAAACATTATCCCACGCATGATCTTGAGCTAGTCGTAGTAGTTTTTTCTTTAAAGATTTGGTGGCATTATCTGTATGGGACTACTTGCGACATTTACACCGATCATAAAAGTCTCAAATACCTTTTCACCCAAAAAGAGTTGAATATGCGCCAGCAGCGGTGGTTGGAGCTTATTAAGGATTATGATTTACAGATCCACTATCATCCTGGTAAAGCCAACACGGTGGCAGACGCACTTAGTCGGAAAAATGTGGAAAATTTGGCAAGTTTATTGACAAAGAAAAAGGAATTGATAAGTGAGCTAAATAAAATGGGGGTCGACTTGGTGATACATGGTCAAGAAGCAACAGTGGCAACAATGATGGCCCAACCGACATTACTTGAGGAGATTAAATTACGCCAAATGGACGATGGAGCTCTAAAGAAGACATGTGAGGAAATAGAGATAAAACCGAAACTGGGGTTCACTTTGACAGATTCTGTGCTTAAATTTCAAAACCGAGTATGTGTTCCTAATGTGGTAGAACTTAAACGGAAATTGATGGAAAAACACATACCTCCAGAGTTACAATGCATCCAGGAAATACCAAAATGTATTGGGATTTGAAACAAAATTTTTGGTGGCCAAGTATGAAAAAAGCAATCGCGGAGTTTGTCTCTAAGTGTTTGCAATGTCAGCAAGTAAAAGCAGAACATCAGAAACCAGCAGGATTATTACAACCCCTTCCAATCCCGGAATGGAAATGAGAACATCTGACCAAGGATTTTGTTGTAGGCTTACCACGGACACCTCGAGGGATGAATTCTATATGGGTCATTGTCGACCGATTGACAAAGTTCGCCCACTTCCTGCCCGTGAAGACCCAATATAATGCAGATAAACTTGCTGTGATCTATGTGAATGAAATTGTAAGGCTTCACGGTGTTCCGGTCTTAATTGTGTCAGATAGAGATCCAAAATTTGTTTCAAGGTTCTGGCAAAGCCTACAGGATGCAATGGGTACAGAACTAAAGTTTAGCACAGCTTTCCACCCTCAAACAGATGGGCAATCCGAGAGGACGATTCAGACGCTAGAAGATATGCTTCGAATGTGTGTTCTGGATTTTCAGGAAAGTTAGGAAACCCATCTGCCGTTGGTTGAGTTTGCGTATAATAACAGTTACCATTCGAGTATTGAAATGGCACCCTACGAAGCTCTGTATGGAAGACTGTGTCGTTCTCCCGTGTGTTGGGCTGAGGTTGGAGATAGGCCATTGTTAGGGCCAGAGATTGTCCAGTTAACAACTGAAAAAGTTAGAATTATTCGAGAAAGACTGAAAACTGCCCAAAGTAGACAGAAGAGTTATGCAGATAACCGGCGAAGGAATTTGGAGTTTGACGTGGACAGTCATGTTTTTGTGAAAGTTACCCCAATGAAAGGACATCCAAGATTCGGAAAAATGGGTAAACAGACACCCCGATATGTTGGTCCCTTCCAGATCTTAGAAAAAGTGGGTCCAGTAGCCTACCGAGTTGCCCTTTCGCCACATATGAGTCAGATTCATAACGTGTTCCATGTTTCTATGCTTCGAGGATACCTTCCAGATCCGTCACATGTTATTGATTATCACCAAATTGTGTTGACTGACAAGTTAACATACAAGGAAAAACCAATTTGAATTCTGGACCGTCAAGTGAAACAGTTACGGAACTGAGAAATTCCAATGGTAAAAGTGGAATGGCAAGAGCATTACGGAACCGAAGCAACTTGGGCAAAGGAAGATGAAATGCAACACCAATATCCGCATCTATTTCCCTCTTAAGGTAAAACAAGTTTGGAGGACCAAACTTATTTAAGGGGGGGAGAGTGTAATAACCCGACCCTCGTACATGATTCTGGTATCTTTTCAGCCCTCTATTTTGTGCTTTTGAATGCTCATTGTGAAACTCTATGTGAAATTACGTTGAATTAAGTGAAACCCGAGAAATTCCAATGGTACAAGTTGAATGGCAAGAGCACTACGAAATTGAGGCAACTTGGGAAAAGGAAGATGAAATGCAACACCAATATCCGCATCTATTTCCCTCTTAAGGTAAAACAAGTTTGGAGGACCAAACTTATTTAAGGGAGGGAGAGTGTAATAACCCGACCATCGTACATGATTCTAATATCTTTTCAGCCCTCTATTCTGTGCTTTTGAATGCTCATTGTGCGATGCTATGTGAAATTACGTTGAATTAAGTGAAACTTGGAAATATGGATTCTTATCTGTTGAACAAGAAAAGTATCTGTCGCGTTTAAACTGTTTGACTCAGAAATTGGAAGCCTTAACGGCTTAATAATCTGAAATTGATTATATATCTGTGATCAGCATAATTTTTAAGTAATATTAAGCATGTTTGCGAAATTTCAATTTGGAATGCGTAAACGATGGAATTTCGTCTTATTCACCCTTTTTATAAAGTGTATATATATGTACCAAAGCTCTTTAGATATTTCGACTTAGAAATTCATTGAAACAAATCTCCTGGAAGAGAAGTTTTGAGAAGGGTTTGAGACGTAGGGGGACTAGATCATCAAGAAGGTGAAGAAAGTGAGAGACTCAAGCCTAAGGTAAAATTATTCATTATTTATGATTCTTCTTTTGAATTTGAGAAGGATTCCTCCTTTTATGAGGCTTAGAGTGTGAGAAGAAGTGGGTATTTGATTCTTGCATTAAAACAGAACATGGTTTATCACTTTGGTGTTTTGAAATTAATTTGGGGTTATATGTGTAGGAAGTTATACTTTATTCCTTCTATTAGCATGTTTGAAGTTAATTTGTGGTTATGGCCATGTGTATATGTTTAAAGTGTGTGGAGTATGAGTTGAGTTATATTTTGGTTATGGAATTCATAGGAAGTTAAACTCACTTCTTGCTTGAAGATCTAGTTTATATTTATCATCATCATGTGTTTGTAATGATTTTTGAACCATGTTTTGGTATATAAAGAATCTATTTTAGACCTCATGCATGATCACCAAACATGGGGTTTTGTATGAGGGTTGAACTACCAAACAGGGGGCCAGGCCGCACGTGCAGAGGTCGTGGCCGCACGTGCGGAGAAGAGTAAAAAAAACGGGGAAGCATACTGTTTTTGGCCGCTCGAGCGGTGGAGGGGGACCACACGTACGGTACATGTCCGCACGAGCGAAGGGTATGGCCGCACGTGCGGCCCAGGTCAGAAATCTCGTTTGTTCCGTTTTACGTGCTCAACCCTCAGCTCTTTTTGGAATTTGTGTTCAATACCTGTTTATGATTGTACATGCAATTGAAATGTAAAAATGCAAGAAATAGTTTAAAAGAAGAAAGAAACTAATATGTGTTATCTATGTGTGTAGGACACACCACAGGGGGAACCACCGCTGCGCAACAACACTGTGAGTAATAGTACACGAAATGTACATTTATTTACCGTTAATATCTGTTATGACTATTCTGTTTTCTGTTAGACATAACATTAACATATGTATTGATCGGAACTTGGTGACAATGTAAGGTTGACTACATTTCTGTATATTTCTGGGCCGAAAGGCTGTTCTGTATATTTCTAGGCCGAAAGGCTGTTCAGTATACTTCTGGGCCGAAAGGCTGTTCTGTATTTCCGGGCCAGTAGGCCGTTCTGTTATAACTGTAATACTAGGCCCAAGGCCGTTCTGAAAGTAAAACAATATCAGACTCACTACTTGGATTTCATTTTTGTGAATGCACTGTTATGCATTGTGGTTAAAGTTGGTCATAAAACTTCTTAAGTACTATTATTCACTGAGCTTGTCTCACCCTGTAATTTTGTCTGATTCTGTAGGTAATCAACTTGGAGGTCAGTCTTAGCATCATTATCATCTCTCTTTTGTCAACCTAAGGACAACCAGGCACTTGGAGAAGCCCTTTGCATGCTAGCGCAGTTTTGCTAAACTTTGTCATTTTGTACTAATGTTTTGTGGGCTGAAGTCGATTTGTATCTAATGGTTGTTATATGCCCAACCTCTGGGCTGGACTTGTAAATGTGTACATAACTTAATCTCATATGCATGTTCACTAGATGTTTAATTTCGAGTCGTGGTCCTGGCATATTTGTAGTAGCTCAATGGATGTGTCTGCATGTTATTCTATTATATTAACGCTTCCGTTCAGGCCCCGGATATTTTTATATAGCAGGATAAGTGTCTGTTTCTGGGTAGGTCATGCCCGAAATTTTAGAGGCAAGTTTGGGGCGTGACATGTCTACACCAGCTTGTTCATATAACACAACTTCAATCTCCGCTTTCTCAAAATCTTGCGAAATGTCTTTCTGTTCAGTGAGTAGACAAGCTAAGTTCCCCGTTGATTTCCTGCTCAATGCGTCGACAACTGTATTGGCCCTTCCTGGGTGGTACTAAATCTGAAGGTCATAATCCTTTATTAACTTGAGCCACCTCCTCAGTCGCATATTCAGCTTCTTTTGAGTAAAGAAATATTTCAAGCTTTTGTGATCCGTGTAAACTTCACATCTTGCCCCATACAGGTAATGTCGCTAAATTTTCAAAGCAAACACAACTGTGACTAGTTCCAAGTCATGTGTTGGGTAGTTCTTTTCATGCGGCCTCAATTGTCGGAAAGTATATGTAATCACTCTCTCGTTCGGCATTAGTACACAGCCCAGACCTTTATAAGAAGCATCACTATATATTACAAAGTTTTCCATACCTAAGGGCAAATCAAAACTGGTGCAGAAGTTAATCTCGCCTTCAATTTGTGAAAGGCAAACTCCCTTTCTTCAGTCCATTCAAACGGTTGTCCTTTGCGTGTGAGTTGAGTAAATGGTACGGCTATTTTCAAAAAATCTTTCACAAACCATTTGTAATACCTGGCTAGACCCATGAAACTGCGAACTTCTGTTACATTCGTCAGAGTAGGCCAGTTCACAATTGTCTCTATCTTCTACAGGTCTACTGAAATCCCCTCCTTGTTGATAACATACCCTAAGAAAATAACTTCATACAACCAAAATTCGCATTTCTTTAGTTTAGCAAATAATTTCTTCTCTTTAAGTGTTTGCAAGACAGTTTTCAGATGCTGTTCATGTTCAAGTCTACTCTTTGAATATATCAAAATATCATCAATAAAAACTGCAACAAATTCGTCGAGGTAAGGCTTAAAAATTTGGTTCATAAGATTCATACCTTGTTCATAACAAGGAATTCATAATGACCATACCTCGTTCTGAATACAGTTTTCTCAACATTTTGTGCCTTTACCTTCAACTGGTGGTACATGGATCTCAAATCAATTTTCGAAAATACTTGTGAGCCTTGCAACTGATCAAACAAGTCGTCAATACGAGATAAAGGATATTTATTCTTTATCGTTACCTTGTTCAATTCACGATAGTCAATACACAGGTGCAAGGTTCCGTTTTTCTTTTTCACAAATAATACCGGTGCACCACATGGTGAAGTACTTGGTCGAATAAACCCCTTGTCAAGTAAGTCTTGCAATTGTTCTTTCAGTTCTTTCATTTCAGCAGTAGCCATTCGATAAGGGGTTTTTGAAATAGGCTGAGTGCCTGGCACAATATCAATAGTAAACTCTATCTCCCTGTCAACCAATTCTCTTGGCAATTCATCTGGGAATATATCTAGAAATTTGCTTACAATGGGGATACTGTTCAATTCAACATTCACAGATTGTTCAGACAATACACAACATAAGTAACCCTGGCACCCTTTCCTAGTTAATTTATATGCTTTCATTGCAGATATCAAATAAGATGGAGGCACTACCTCGTTACCCACAAACACAATTTCCTCCTGTCCTGGTGGTTTAAATTCAACTCGTTTCGTTACACAATCGATGGTGGCACAATACTTAGATAACCAGTCCATGCCTAGAATTATATCAAAATGTCTAAAGTCTGAGGGTAACAGATCTACATACAAGGTAGCATTCCCAATACGCATATCGCAAAATCGACACACAGATGTACACAACACAAATTCCTGGGATAGAACAGATACACATAACAAATATAGAAATGATTCTAGAGCTCTACTCAATCTAGATGCAAATGCATAAGTTACAAAGGAGTGCGTTGATCTGAAGTCAATTAACACAAATGCATCTTGATTATATATAGAGATAGTACCTGAGACGACGGCTTCTGCGTTCCGTGTATCGCCCGAAACGAGCACAAAGACTCTCATTTGCCTCACGGTGTCTTCAGTGGTAGTAGGCCTCATAGTGTTTCTCGATTTTGGGATTGATGCAGTTGAGCTAGCAGCTAACTTTCCACTGTTTTTGTTACAATCCCTGGCCATATGCCCTATTTTACCACACTTAAAGCAGGCCCTTGAAACACGGTAGCAAACCCCATGATGTCTTTTACCACATTGGTTGCACATTGGAGACGTATCTCTAGAAGAATTTGAAGTGCTTGAGGAATCTATATTCTGTTTATTTGAGAGTCTTTTCTTTGAAAGAAGCCTTGCCTCTTACTTTTCTAATCAGTTGGTGATTTACTCTGCCTGGCTATGTTAGCTTCTGATATTATTGCCTGATCCAGCACATTAATGTAGGTTTCTAGCTTTAATACATTCATCTTTTCTAAGATATCATCTCGAAGACCACCTTATGTGTGGTGTAAATCTGGCCAGTTTAGT